AAAAAAATAATAATAATAATAATAATAATAATAATAAAATTTAAAAAAAAAGAGTAAACAGACCTGGGCAAGAACAGGACGACATAACTCCAAGGTCTCATACTTATTCAGTTTCCCCTGGTCTAAAAGGATACCAAAGTATTGAAGTAAAGGTGTTGGACCTCCACCTTGCCCTGGGCAATGTTGAAACTTTTGAATAGTCTGTGGTGTCCTCAAAATCCCCTACAAAAATTCAACTATGTAATAAATTGCGTCTTTGAATGAAGAAGATATGACAAAGAACTACAGTAAAACGTACACCAGGAGCTGTAGCAGCAACCCTTGCAGCTTCTGTATAGTTTCCATTACCAAACAACAAATTGAACTTTCGAACAAATAACTCCTCGGCACCTTGTAAATTGCATCTCCCAGCCAACCTTAGAGCGAGATCAGGATTTTGAAGAGTTTGTGTAATATATGGAATCATGTTTGACTCATCGATGCTGACAGAGAGGACCTATAAAACTGGGCAATACTTTGTTTAGAATTTTTCGAGAAGACGTGTTATTAAAAGTTTGTAAAACCAAAAAAGCGTCAACAACGTTACTGACTGAAAAATTAACAAAATACAGGAGCAATAATTTTCTAATCACCAGCAATAACACGCTGTAAACATAAAAAGTAGCTAAAATTAACCTGCCCTTTCCGGTTAACGCCCATAATACCTTCCGTGGCAGTATACTCCGTTGTTACAAAAATTGTATCAGATGAAATACGATTCATATAGATACAAGTTCCGGTTTCCATATCGTACAGGTGCACGTAGCCATATTTAGTAACCAAATAAATAATCCCATGTTTTCCTGCTGCCTACAGCCAATAAAGCATAAGCTATGAAGTTAAAATATAAAGCAAATTACTGTACAGCTAGAGCACAAAAAACAATTCCGTTCTACACAGTGTGAAAACAATAGGCTAAATTTTAGATACTGCGAGAAATGTGCAACTGAAAAGTCGCCACGAACCTGCATCGCAACTGGGAAATCGGTACCGGCCTCAGCGGGATAGTAAACATCAACTTGTTTTTTTTGGAACGGTTGGTTACCGCTTGGTGGGGTCCCGACTTCAATTATGTGTAGCTAAAATTCCAAATCAAAAAGTTCAAAAACTGTTCTATGAAAAATGTCACGAAGAAATGACAGGACGAAAAAAGCAATCAAAAGAAACATACTTTCCCTCCCTGCTGAGTACGGACAGAGAAGCAAAACAAGTTGCTTGGATGGGGGTTATTTTCAGCTTTGAAGCTAACAAAACAAGCAGCATGTCCCTCAATGGGTTGCGACACACGCCGTTCAACACTGTACAACTGCATGGCTCCAACAACTCGACTATCCTGTAAACAGCAACTAAGAAATTTCAATCTTCAGCTATGAACTCTATTTAAGCTGGCTCTAGAAAGTGAAAAATTTGTTTCAA